CATTAACACCTGGAAGCCTATGGTAAGTGCAGAGATTCTGGACTTTATCAGCCTGATTGGACCATAGCCCAGACTCTGATAGGCTCTCCAGGTGGTGCACCTGGATTTGAAATGCTCTGCTGGAGAGCAAAGTTCTGCAAAATTTTTCTTTTGAGTGTTCACACAACAAATACTTTAAAGGCATGCTTTATACAATCTTTACCACAGCTATTAACTCTACTGTTGTAGCACAAAACAACTGTAGACAACAGGTAATCAAATTTGTGTGACTGTGAGTCAAGGCAGTATTATTGATCAAAACAAGGTTAGCTGGATACTCTGGCAGTCATCTCCTGAACCTGCCTTAAGTAGTTTAGTGGATGTGATGGGCAACTTTGGGAGAGTCCCTAAATGGTCTCTCCTCCCTGCAGTTATACTCTTGCATAATTCCTCTCCCTAGAGTGTGGAGTGGGTGAACTATCTCCCTTCTAAGGAGTAGACTATGGCAGAGAACTAGGATATCAGTTCCAGGATTGGACTGTAAAAATACTGAGGCTTTTGTCTTGGCTATTATCTGTCTGTCTGTCTGTCTACCTCTCTCTCTACCTATCTATCATCTATCATCTACCTCATTCTTGCTCTCTCCTGCTCTCTCACTGCCAACTGTGGTAGAAGCCTACTAGTCAATTGCAAAGCAGGATTATGTGGCAGGAACTGAGGCTTTTCATATGCCCTGGAAGTGAGTGTGGAGATGGATCCTCTCCCTGTTGGATCCTGAGATGAGTACAGCCCCATAAAACATCCTCCAAGTGACCATGGGGTATTTCCAAAGTTCTAGCTCTTAGAAACTGTGACACAATAAGTATTGTTTTAAACCACTCACTTAAGGATACTTGATATACATGGTAATGGAAACTTAACATATAATATAATTAACAGCATTGTAAGCAGTTCCATGATTGCTCTTCTTTCATACTTCTATAGCACTATATAAGTGAGTGAGTAAATAAGTGGAAAGCATTTATGTCGTTATGTTTCTTTCTTTCCCTGAGAAGTAGATTACAGATTCTTTGGAGGTAGATACTTTTAGGAAATACTAAAAGTAAGCTGGTGGGGCTTGGGAGACAGCTTAGGGAATAAGTGATCGATGCACAGGCATGAGGAGCCGAGTTCAGATCCCATAAAAAGTTGGTGTAGTGCTGTGTATCTGCAATACCAGCACTGGGAGTGGAGGTAGAGACAGGGGGGTCCTGGGGACACATTGACCAGCTAGTCTCTTACAGAAATACGGAGAAGGAATTAAAGAAGAAATCTTGACATCAGCGTCTAACCTCCACATATGCCAACATGATTGAGCACACTTGTCCTCTGAGATATAAGGGTGCAGGCATGCGCGCGCGCACACACACATACACACACTAAAACAAAACAAAAAAAACAGGTGCTGTTCACAGAATTTACTGAATTTACATACAAAGTTTTCTTATTTCTCTTGCAAATCAGGAGCCTCTACTTTGTATGTTGGGGAGGTTGTTTTGGTTCTCTGGAGTGTTTCTCTGGAGCTGCCTGAGGAGGTATGATCTCCTTCTATCAGTTGTATCATTAGTTAATAATTGTTAAAAAAAAAAAACCCAAACCAAAACCAAAACAAAATGTTTCTTATCCAAACACATGAACACTTTTTTCAATTATCTGGTAAGATGACTAAAGCTGAGCTATCAGCTGTGCAGCTGATCTCTTCCTCTTTGTAAATCCCTACATGGGAGAAAATAGTCTCAGGTTGACAAAGTGTGTTCCCAGGTTATCTTTGAGAAAAGTGTAATCCACTGTATTTTTTTGGCTTTGAGGTGTTTTTCCTCTTTTATTTTTTCCCCTGACTTCTGCTTTGGTAGGCTTTTATCTCCTCTCGTTATTTCACAGTTGCCTGGGCATCTGAAGAACTTCTTTCCTCTGCCCCTCCACAATCGTTTTCAAGAGTCTGTTCATAGCACTTCCAAAATGCCTCACATTTCATGGCTGACCCCAGGGTGACAAAAATCTAGGAATAGACAGCAGGCTTCTGGAAAGAAATAATTTCTAGTTAACTGTGTGACTTGACTAAACAGTAAACCAGAAATACTAACAATTTACTCTTCCTGCTGCTGGTTTGAAAGATAAGCACTTGAACTCTACATGACTGATAAAGAATGGACGCTTTGCACAGTGTAGGGTACTGGGTCAAGGACCACTATGAAGAGTGTTCTAAAATTTTCTGTGATTAAAACTAAAGTTTCCAAACAATAGAGCAACATAGACAGGTGGTTATGGTCTCTCTCTCTCTCCCCCTCTGCTCTGTCTCTGTAATTCCTTTGAAATGTCATGTGCGTGTGTACGTGTGTGTGCGAATATGGGTGTGTGTTTCTCCCTCCTGAGTCCAGGCTATTTTGTCTACTAATTATAGCCTCAATTTTTTAAGTGAACTTGATCTTAGGGTGTTAACACCTGTACCCAAAAGTAAAAACTGAAAGAGACAATACAAGTTACTTTCAAGATCTGTGAAAGTTGATGGAAGTACAGGTCAGTGGTAGAGCACTTGCCTAGCACATGTAAGACCCTGGGTTTGATTTTCTGGTGCCTGAAAAAGAAAACAATAAGCAAACATGTGAAAGGATATATATACATATATATATATATGTATATATATATATACATATATATATGTTATTTTCTTCTGACCCCATAACCAGATTACAACTTGTGTCACGAAGTGACCATGACCTTGTACATGTTGACTGTCAGCATCTTCACTATTGATTTGAGTCCTCATTCAGGATAGGTTTTATTGTTCCAGGTTAGGAGGCACATAAAACAGAGAAGAATGATAATCAAATCAGCTGCTGCAATTATATTTCCAACACTGTTAGTAAGCTCTTATTTGGATCTACACATCACTCATTGAAGGTTCTATACAAAGAAAATGGGTTGGTATCTATATGTTAATCAGCTATCCATTACTATTTAAAAAAATAAACCCAAGATAATAACATATAAGGAAAAGTCTGATTTGTGTCATAGTCTTGGAGAATCCAACCCATGACTGATTGGGCCACACTGACAGTGTGTCTGTGGCAAGGTAGGGCATCATAGCAGAGCCATACGGTAGTGTAAAACTGCTCACCTCATGGCCAGGGTATGAAAAAAAGAAAAAGGAAGGAGGAAATTCCACCAATCCCCCTACAGGACATGCCCCAAATGACATGAGGACCTCTTCATCAGCCCCAGCATTTAATGGTTTTCCCATCTCGTATAGTGGCAACACAGGCTAAATACCAAGACTTCAACATATGGACGTTTAGTTGGACATTCCAGTCCAACTAAAACAATTTGGAATTTCAAATCAAAGCAATATTATTTACTAATTGCAAATTCATTCTATAAATCTAGTTACTTGTACACATTTCCTTTAGAGGTCAAGTAATTAATGAAAATATGTTTCGGTTTCCCTTTGAAGGAAAAATAAAATGGTTCTTATTATCTAAGATTTTGATTTCTGATTCAGTTTCTAATGGCTAACTGAAGTCTGAAAATATTAAGTGGAAAGTTTCAGAAACCAATAATTAATGTGTTAAATTATGTATCATTTTGAGCAGCATGAGGAAATCTCATTCTGTTCAGATCCATCTAATCCAGGACATGAATCATCCCTTTGTCCAGAGTATCCAAGCTGCAGGAGCTACACTCTTGTTAGTCCCTTACTAACTGTCTATAATCAGTTCAGCTGTTGTTATAGCATAGTGTTTGTGTTGAAGCAACCCTTCCTGCCTTAATAACAGCCCTAGTATTCAGGATTAGTGATACAAAGTAGGAGGTATCAAGGTATAAAACATGGGTAGACTAACTCCAATCCTTTATGGTAATGCTGCAGGAATACAGCAAAAAGCATAATGTATGTCTAGGGCTTGCTACCAGCTGAAGTTTGACATATCCATAGGTGTTCTCAGAACCCCTGCCCTTACATGTAGCCCTTCTCCCTCACACCCACAAGCCCACACATACACCATCAGTAAGGGAGCACTGACCTAATAATCTTAGAAGTGGCAGATTATTTTCTGGGAAGTTGATAAAGGATTTTTTTATAGTATAAATGTAAAACTGTTCAGTTTACAATGTATATAATGGACACTGTGACTTACTGCAAACTACTAAAAAAATCAGGATTTTTTTATATGGAAAAAATGGCATCGACATGGAGGTGAACATCTTACCCTTGCCTTGCAAAAATGGATGGAGCAGTTTTGTTAAATAATCCTCCCCTTCTCCCAAACACACACACACACACACACACACACACACACACACACACACACACGCACGCGCACATACACAAATGTTTCAAACTCCTACTGCCAATAGACTCTGTGTGTAGGGTGGTGGGGCCCTCAGTATCAGGTCTCCCTGAATCCCTCAGCCTCTGTTTCTTCAGAGAAACTCCCAGGGCCCAATGTAGTAAACACATAATAAAACAAATCTCCACACTGTCAGAATAGGAGAACATGCGCAGCAAATTAATTTAAATAAAGCATGTCAAATATTTGCTTCAGTTGAAATTTATCAAATGCCATTTCATTACACTGTGTTTTCATTTATGCCAGGCGACTGTCATGCCAGAACTATTTTTTATTATTGTAGAAGTCAGAAAACACATTTTAGAATAAGATATTATCATGATAAAGGTATTTGAGCCTTGTGATATGGCTTTTACAGAGGAATGAAGGATCATAAGGCCTTATTTATTACAATTAAAATAAACACTCAAGAAGGAGCCATGGCCTCCTTTCCATGTGGTTATTTAGGGCAGGCACCAGTCAGCACCTTTGTAAAGTGACACTCCTTGTCTCTAAACTCAGGCACGTCTTGTAGTGAGAGGCACAGGTATGACCAAACAGAACAAGAGGAAGGTGGTCCAAAGGAGGTGTGAATACACACTCTTAACTCATGGTCTAGATTTCCCATCAACTCTCTGGAGTTCTCTTTCTTCCTAGGACCCACAGTGAAGCCATGGTGGACTTTCCTTCCCAGAAGGCACTGCAATTCTGAATTCAGGGACTTGGCATCATTTCTTGGTAATTGCTGCCTTCTCATTGAGCATTTATTGACATCACTCTGTGGTGAGGAGGGGCAATGACTTTCATTCTTTCCTAAGTAAACAAATACATGGGAAGCCACTCAGAACCAGGTACAGTAGCAGGTGCTGCATCAGCTATAGGATGAGGGAGATACAATCTTGAACCTAGAAGGGCTTGTGGTATGGGTGGTGGGCATTCATTAAAAATACAACCATCCAGCACATGTAGATTTGGCACCTACTTCTAGAAAGGACCTTCTTGTAAAAAGAATGCTTCACTTAAGGCAGAAGCATGCGGCAGGTCCCTGAGCTCTCTTAGAGGGAGTGGACCCACTTAGAGGTAGAAGCACTCTCCTGATAGAAGTGAACATCTCTGGAGATTCTGAATAAATTGCAAGGGGTGGATCTCAAGGATTCCACTAAAACTGGTATTCCACTGAAGGCTTAAAAATAGGCCTGCTAAGATGGTTCAGCAGGCAAAGGCATCCATTGCCAAGCCTGATGATCCTAGATAGCATCCCATGTCTCACATGGCAGAAAGAAAGAACCAGTTCCTGTAAGTTGGTCTCTGACCTCCATACATGTGCTACGGCAGTGACACCCAAATAAATACAAAATATGTCAGTTTGTTTTAATATTTTGAAATCTTTATCAGACTCTGAAAGTCAAAATTTTCTAATTTGGACCTGGAGAGCCACCAAACATATGGTGATTTCTCTGAGAATTATCTACTCTCAAATGGAGGGATAGAGGCCCAGAAAGACACATAATGCATGTTCTCACTCCCATGAAGCTCAAAGCATTGGTCTCATAGAAGAAGAGACTACACCCAGATGTCAGTAGAGGCTGAGAAGGGGCACGAGTGAAAGGTAGAACAAATAAAAGGGGCCGAGCTACAGTCATGTAGGTGGAATAGATAAAACCCAGTATTAAACAAATTGTTAAGGTGACCACAGCAATTCGCTGCATATATTATTTTCTACAAAAGCACAAGAGAAGACTTCAAAGGCTCTGGCATTAAAAAAGACAAAACAAACAAATGCTCAAGGAGAGAGATGCCAGCGATCACGATTTGCTCATTGCACTTTGTTTGTGGGCATTAAATGATCACACTATGCTCCACAAATATGTGTAATTATTATGTGCCAATTAAAAACAAAATGGAAAGATGGGTCCTATGACTCCAGTGGACCTGGTGGGTGCAGCTGATAAGACAGGCTCATCAGGTTCTCTGTCCTGTCTGTCTTTCAAATTTAGAACTATGACTAGAAGAACACTGGTCAAAGACCTTTCAGTTGCACTTAGATTCTCTGTCTTCTGCTACACACACACACACACACACACACACACACACACACACACACGGGAACACAGGAAGATGGCAGCAATCAAGAGAAGCTGAAATGAGGGGTGGGAGGGCACACTGCTAGTCATTTAGAAGCATTCTAAATTCTGGGACAGGTACCTTCCCTACATACACATTTTTTTTCCCCTTTAAAATACCCCCCGGAATTGGTCTGAAATTCTCTTTCTTTGTTGAGTGTTTATGTGGTTTAGGGGTCAGGGGTGGCTGAGGAGAGCCAGTCAATGACTGGCCCAACATGAGTTGCATGCCATGAGGGAGAGCCCACCACTGACACTACCAATAACATTCTGCTGTTCTTGCAGACAGGAGGCTAGCATAACAGTCATGAGAGAAGCTTCACACAGCAGCTGATGAAAACAGATGCAAAGACACAGAGCCAGACATTAGGCAGAACTCAGAGACCTTCTTATGGAAGAGGAGGAGGAAGAATGGAAGAAGCCAGAGAGATCAAGGACACCACCAGAAAACCTACACAAACAACCAACCTATACCCATAGGGGCCCACAGAGACTGACCCACCAACCCGAGATGGGCCCCACACATATGTAACAGATGTACAGCTTGGTCCTCATGTGGGACCTCTAACAGCAGGAGCAGGGGCTGCCTCCATCTCTGCTGCCTGCCTCTGGATCCCTTTCCCCTAACCGGCCGGCCTTGCCTAGCCTCAGTAGAAGACAGGCCCAGTCCTACCTGACATGCCAAGGCGAGTTGATACCCATGGGAAGTTCCCCTTCTCTGAGAAGAAAGGGAGGGGGCACAGGGGAAAAGGAGGGGAGGTGAGAGTAAGAGACTGGGAGGAGAAGAGGGAAGGGAACTTCCTACTGGGATATTAATTAATTAATTAATTAATTAATTAATTAATTACGAAAAAATAAAGTACCCCTGGATTCTGCAGTGCACTTATCTATTCCAAGTAAAAAAAATTCAAGCTGGTATCTATAACTTGCGATCAAAGGAGTCTAGTCTCGTGAACACTTAAAGGCAAAGCCCCACCTAAACGACCAGAGACACAGGGACAGTACCCTTTCCTTATGCACATGCTGTACATTTCAGGTTAGTTTTGTTGCCACTTTACACTTACTGAAATGCACAGAGTGGGGTCCAGTTATGCATACTCCACAACAAATTCCTAGGCTGTTCTCATGAGTTTCCAGGTTCTAGACCTGCTGGAACACACAATATCCTTGCCACTAACTCTGTCAGCTGCTGCCATATGTCCATGTTTTCTTCCCACTTTCCTGTGATATAGCTGTTATTCACCAGGAGAATCCTGGTTTCTCCCTCCTGCCATTTTCATCCATGTAGATTCAGCTCTGACAACTGTGACTCCCTTGTCACCTGCCTGTCCCTGGGCTCTCTATCTGATTTTGAGTTTAGAAAGAGAAATGAGTGTATATCGTGCAACTTCCTTCTTTTGGAAGCTCCTCTGTCTACAGAGGGCAGGCATGTGTTCTCAGGTACATTAGAAATCCTTTCACATGGGTTCTTTCCATGCCTGTGGGAGACATGGTAGGGAGTCCTTCCTCAACCTAGAATAGCCATCACTGTTTGAGAAGTCTTCTTCATTAGGCTCTTCAGTGTTAGAGTTACATACAAAGTCACTTTACCAAGTAGTTTATCAGGATGGAATCATGTTCCCAAAATGGACCGTGCCCTGTCATGTATCTGTTCAGAACTCTGGTGAGGAAGAAAGATGCTATCTATGCAATTCCTTCTCTCAGATACTTCCACAATTGCACACGTGCTTTTAGGTAGGATGACTGCTTGATAATAGAGGCCAAGGCCTTTCCCCTGCCTTCCTAAATTTAAAGAACACACACACACACACACACACACACACACACACACACACACACACA